TTGCTTTGTTATTTAAGCGAAAACTCAAAGGATTTGGATACCTTATAATCATGGCTGCAGACCAGACAGCCTTGCAAGGGAGCTTTTTTAAGCTTATAGAAGTTTTAGTTTCAATAAGTGATTGTCAAGACTTACATGTAATTTCACGAGTACCTATTAAATAAAAATTTTTTTTCTTTTCACTTATCTGCCAGGGATGTTCTTAACAACTTGTTTCGCTTTGAGAATAAACTTTTTAGAATTTACCGGCGCTAGAGCGAGCGAACGCTCATTTAAATGTATTAAAGTTGTGTGACATTTATATTAGTTCAATCCCAACAGATTTAGACTAAATGTTCAATCCCGTCGCAATCGTTCCTTGGTAGCATCTTATAACATCAGGGATTTGTAAAGCCTGTGCAAGCCTTGGGATGTCAGCTTTCTTGAAACGCAAGTCTGTCAAACATTCATCTTCGTTGGAATTTTGAAGGTCGAACTCGGGATACAAATCAGGTAAATAAAGGTTTTCTGAGCTATACGAATTACATAAGAACAGAAATATTCAGCGTCATTTATAAAATTCATGCCATAAGAAAGCACAGCAAGGTCTGTTATTTCTTCAAACGAAACCATTGAAGAGAAATCAACCAAAACCTAGACGGGAAACTAGTCCTGTCTTCCGAGTTTGTTTACATTTTGTGTCTGTTGTGACCACAGGTAGCCCAAGCCTATATGAGAGTTTGTACGGGAAAAATAGAGTTTGAAACTTAGATGAAATAAATGAAGTAAAAGTGATAAAAGTTATCAACAAAGTGCAAATATTTTTACCTGGAGTCGTTGTCTTTGTTTTTACGAAGTTTCAGCATGATTTGAGTACTTTTACATCATCTGACCTGACAGTGTAATAATAAGAGACAAGGTAGGACAGAATCGCTCGATCGATCTTCAAAGCTGCTCAGAATCAACTCCAAAAACAAACACACTTACATTTTACGCCACGAATCCACAAAGTGGTACCTAAGATCACCTTCCTGCAATCCATTCCGGTATATCTTGCATTTGGGTCACACAACTCGATCGAAAAGATCAACTACAGTTCAAAAATCGGCACCATTTATCCGTGAGTAGGAAAAGTGTAACACTTCAACCGTTTTGTTGCTCGGTGGTGACTGGGTGCTAGCGTTAAATAATAACTCCCCGGGGAAGGGTGACATTACTTCATTCAGACAAATCTCTATGCACCCATGTCCCAGCAAGGTCAGCTTCTTTGTTTTCATTCGGCCAATGATATAAACGAAGCAACAAAACAAAGACAACAACTCCAGGTAACAATATTTACACTTTATTGATAACTTTTATTGCTTTTACTTCATTTATTTCATCCAAGCTTCAAACTCTATTTTTCCCGTACAAACTCTCATATTACGCCACAGGTGGCCCATATTACGCTTGGGCCACCTGTGTTGTGACGTTGCCATACCATGCGTAACTGAACCATTTTGACCGCGTAGTTGCCCCAGCCCTTCCCGGTTACAACAGCCGTAGTACAGCTACCGTAAAACTCCGAAAATAAGCCCCTCCATGTATAAGCCCCTCCAAATATAAGCCCCCCCGGGAGCTTGTACTTGGAAATTGCCCTCAAATACAAAGTGAAACAAAGCAAAAACCGTAAATTTACTTCCAACTATAAGGGTAGCCCGATCGATTTTGAAATGCAAATTTCCCTCCGTAGATAAGCCCCTCCGAATATAAGCCCCTCAAAAAGGGCCTTTGCAAAATATAAGCCCCAGGGCTTATTTTCGGAATTTTACAGTATGCCGTAGCAAATCATGCTCGTAGAACAACAACAATTTTTGGAATTTTCGGTTACGTCAAAAGTGTCACGTTATACTGTCACGCTATATTTTGGGGCACAGAGGGATTGGGGGAAGGGTGAGTGAAAATAATGCAAATTGTTTCCTGCTTAGAATTAATGGCTAACTTGTTTATTTTTATTCATAATGGTGGAATTTAAAAGTTATTATACAGCCCCCACTTAAAAATGGTCTCTTTTTTTTTCTGAATGAGTTTATGTTTCAGTCTCACACGAGATTCTGTCGCATGCAATGGTCGTTGACAAGGTTTTATGGTAGCCTGAGTGTGTATAGCCGCCCCCCCCCCACCCCCTCAGAAAAAATAGCCCCTTTACAGCCCAGTTAAAAATCGCCTTTCGGCGATTCTTGTTTTCTTGAAAAATTGCCACAGAATTTTTTTTCCTTAAAAATTGAAGAGACGTACACTTTGAATTCATAAACATTTGTTGAGCAGAAATTTCAAGAGAATCCTTACAAATTTCACAAGGAGACTTAATCCCATATGAAGAGCAAAATAATACAAGTCAGTGTACTGGTTCCATTCGAATAGCCACTAGCTATAAAACAATAGTACCGGTACTCACCATAAATACATAAGATGTGTCTGGAACTTGGCCTCCAGTGTTGAAGAGCTCCTCTAAATCATAAAACTGGGGAGGAATCAGACCAATAGAAGTATAAAATTGACAGCTGCACTTCTCAGGTCAAAGATATACAAATCTGGAAATTCCTTTCCACACAGACATTGTCTGATGGAAAGAATATATTCTCCAAAATCTTTTCTCCACCAAACAAAGAAAACAATGCCACAAACCCAGAGGTTTCATTTCAAGCCGGATGCCAGATGCAATGTCCAGTTGTTTGACATGCAACATCCACTACTCCACAAACAAAATAATCAGTTTTTAGGTGTGAAAATTGTTTCTCTCTAGAGATTGTCTTCATCAGATCCAAGGACTGAGATCAGCCCAGAAGCATCACCAAGATTTTCATTGACAGAACTTCAGTAAAGTGATTTTTCTGGTATGTCAATTCTGGACTGGATATTTAAATTACTACCTGTAGAGCATCTGTCATCAGGAATTTGTTTTGGAATCAACTATAAAGCAAGCAACTGCAAACTGATAATTATAATTGCCAAATCAAATAATTATTTCCTTTTTTGGGAGCTTTTTTTCAAAAGACCTTCCCAGTTAACCAATTCCACTCCAGTGATGCAGGAAAATGCAAGTACAGTTTACAACTTTCCCAGGAGAGCATGCCCTGGGACGCCCCTAGAGTAACTGTTTCATGAAAAAATATAAAGGGATAAAGTAAATATTAAATGTTTGTGCCTACAGCACGAATGGTGCAAGAGCACCAGCTGAACCTCTGTATCCGGCACTTCCAAATGCTACTAAAAACTTTGCAAACCTAACCAACAGCATTTAATAATGGAAAAAACATCCAATATAGCAAGTCAAAAACACTTTTTTTAGCTTTTCCTTATCCATTTTGCCATGCTTAAACTAGCTTAAACTAGCTTAAACTTCATTTCAGTGACCTACGGTGGTATGTTTTTATATCCTACACTGCTGTTTGACCTTCAAAGTGAACACAACTTGGAACTAAATTTCCATCATATCAAGCCGTTAAAATACACTGTGCTCTCAGTGCAATTTGATTGCCAGACATCTATTGACTAGTTTCAATTTCAAAGCAAAAAAATGTTTATCCACCTCCATGACATGTACAGTTGTGTACAACAGGCTATATCTATTTTCTTAGAAAGCAACTTGCATTTTTTGTTCAAACAAAAAGTGAAAAATAAAAATTCCCGCAGTAAGGAACATTTCTCCCGGGTTTACAAGAACTACAACTGTACAGAATCTCTTCACAATGAGGTTACTACTTTAATACCTTTAAGCGTGCAACCTCAGAGATTGATTTCAACCTATGTTAGTCCTAGTTGTATGTCATAGCAGGCGATTCTTTCCTGATGTATCTATTTAAGCAGGGTTATTCATACATAATTATTGTATAATTTATATTTATTTATTCATTTATTGCCCCTGCAGGGATTTTGCCCAGAAGGCGAAGTCCTGAGGAGGCACTCCAGTAACTCGCGCGTATATTAAGGAAAGTACTTACAGTTGAAATATACAGTCATACAGTCAATATAGAAAAAATCTTGATTTGCTTGAACAGGGGCCGCGAGGAATCGGTAGATAATGATGACGTTTCTATTGTTTGCCCCCACAAGTACGAAATGGTTAGGATGATGTAAAACACAAAAAATCCTGAAGGAACAGCTTACAATAGGTAGATTTTAATGTCACAAAATCTAAATTAAAATTGTGCAGTCATACTTCGATACTCTTTTGTGTTACACGTTATCAGTGACATTCTGTTGAGCAGTTGTTAAAGTTATGGACCAAAAGATACTCGTTAAATGTAGATGAAGTTGTAAAGTGCGTAGAACAGTGTATATTTTAACACTAAGTGAGTTTGCCAGACACGAGTTCACAAATCTTTGATTGGAAACCTTGCTAGACACTCTTTCTCTTTCTTTGACCGGAATAAGACTCAGCCGCAAACAGGCAAGATGAGTGAATGATTCAACGGCTAGCTTATCACTAGCAGAACGATGGACGATTACAGAAATTCTCGGACCATCAAATTTTGTGCTGACTTATTCCCTGCTCACAGATGTCCTTCTGCTATAAAGTTTAAAATAAGACTAGAATGCGCGAGCATGAATTGATCACACATCCTTTTAATTTCGAAGACTTAATTTCTGGCACATAAAATAAGCTAAATGTAAAAAGTGAAATAGAAATAGTGAAAAATTCAACTTCTAATTAAATCTTTTCTTATGGTTTAGAATAAACTATTCTCAAAACTGAGAATGTTTTGATCAAAGCTGTGTAAATCGAAACTGAAACTGTGCATGGAACATTTATTTCCTGTATTTATCTCACCTATTGTATGAAATATGTGTGAACATCTTCATTATGAATCGGTATATTTCAAAGAGCTACACAAGGAGCAAGAATACTATTGACCGACAATACACAGACTGGGGACAGCTGTAGCGTCAACTATTACTAGTTTATTTATTTACCTAATATGCTGTGACTATAGCGCTAACCAATTAATGTGTATGAGAAACTGTTGTGAATTAAAACTATAGATGTAGAACAATGCATGTACATGTAACTTAGTGTGGCATCCCCCAACTATTTCCTTCCCCTGGTAACTATTGAGTCAAAGTAACTCCTTACATTTGAAATTTTTTTTAATAACGCTGTCATGGCATAATAAAAAATTTACCATAGTATGATCTCGATCTTGTAACACAGCTGTGTAACAAGAAATATGAGGAATAAATAACATGGCTGCACTTTATGATAATATGTTCTTGGTTTCGTGATCAAGCTCATTTAATACCGTGTGGTACGAAATTTTTGCAGTTGCGATTTTTCCAGCGATCCGCAAAAATAAGTTCCTGCAAATAAAAAATAACCGCAAACATTTTTCCCGCAAAAATTTACTCCAGAGAAATTATTTTCTTACTTAAATTCGCTACACAAAAACATGCTACTAAGAAAAAGTGTCTGTTCAATCACAACTTGTCCCTTTCATAAGTAACAAAACTGTATACAACGAAATATTGGTTTATTGTTTGAAAATAATGTATTTTTATTGCACGTACTCAATAAGAACGAAAATATTATCAATGCTGGGTACTGGTTACTTTCTGAAAATCGCAAAAATTAATTCCCAGCAAGAAAAAACAATCTGTCCTAATCGCAAAAATTAGTTTCCGCAAAACACAAAAAATCGCCAATCCGCAAAAATATACTCCCGCAAAAATTTCGTGCCACACGGTATCCAAGTTGTTTCCTCTTACAAAAATACCGCTTCTTTAGGATAATAGAATAACAGGGAATAGGAACTGTCATTAAAAACTAAGTACCTGTCCATGGATATCGCCACAAACTGTAACCGGTGTGGAAACTGGCTGGACGTTTGATTCCTCGAGTAGCAATTCGCAAACGTAGTCGCACAATTTCTGTCAATAATGGCCCAAAGAATGACTTGAGTGTAATTCATAAAATGCAACAGGAAAGGAAAAGGTACTTAGATCAGCATGCGTTACCTTCAAATCATTTTCGGGGAGATATTTGCACTGTTTTGCAATGTCAATCCAGTGGTCTAGATCCGCCATTTTGGTTTGAAAATTCCTGAACTTGCAATGAACATGCGCAATACCCTTCCCCGCGGAAATAAAAGGAAATGTCTTGGGAAATTTCTATCAGCGGGTACTACTTGATGTAAGACTTCCCAAATGTCCCGAGACCTGTGGATGGCCCCAAGAGAAAATGAAAACAATGCTTACGCAAAATTTGACAAACAAAGAGCATTATGGTATATTATGGTATTTTCTGGAGCGGTCAATTGCTTGATGTAGCTGTACTGCGAAAAAAATTCCATTTTTGAAGCAAGGACCAGCTTACAAAAAAGAGGGACCGGAGCCGAAGAATCTAATCAGCAATAACTGAAAACTATTAAACGAAAAAAGCAAGGCTGATTTTACAGTCGGGAATATATATATTAAATGCTACAGAGTAAAAAAACGGTACCGTAAGAAAGCTGTTTTTTAACACCGATATATATTTGTAAAAGGACAGCTTTTTTACAAAAATATATTTTGTAAAAAAACATTCATACTCTAAATGTTGTTGGTGAATTCAGCTAGTGTTCATATTAAAGTTGTTTAGCCTTTACAAGTGTTTTCTGGCTTTTTTCTCGATCTCTAAAATAAAACACTCACTGGCGTACGTTACAGACCGCCTCTATAGTCCCTAATTCTTATAAACAAATCGGCTGCTGTTTTTATGGCCTTACAAGTTGCTCTGTGTATTGCAAAAATTAGACTAACAAGCGAGTGTATCTGGTGTATGTACGCTTGTAGCTATTTTCCTTTTTTTAGCTTTTGCTTTTGCTTGATTAGCCGACTGAACATGTTCCTACATCATGTTGAAAGCTTAAAGTTGTAACGCAGACATGACACTCTTGCACGCATCAACATGGATTTCAACATCCCGTGATAGAAGTTTAGCGCATCATACATAATACAGGAAATTGCCTAACATGCTGTCGTTGATTCTTGCTGAAGATTTTATGCTAGATATGGAGTTATAATTTATTTGTCCACTGCTAAGAGCATCAAAGCATTATAGCCAAGTATTATATATATATATTTTTGCCAATATTTCGGAAGGAACGGCCTTCCTTCTTCAGGGTCTTGCATACAATGACGAGGTTAAGCTAAGACCGTACAATTTGAAATAAAGAATAGCGTGCAATATGATACTGTAATAACACGTGGAAGGGAAATCAAAACCGTTGACATAAAATAAATTTGAAATGTAAAAATAGTGTAAATAAATGATTACAAACAAAGGAAATAAAGAATGCATTACATTTCATATTTCTTATTCACAACCAATGGTTCAAGAGTTCAGTTTACCTATCTCGATGAGGTATGCTTCTAGCTTTTCGTACACGGTCTCCATTTGATTTAATGAGCTCTAGAGGAATAAAGGTGATGCCGTTAGCAGAGTGATCATTAGTAAGAAAGTCTTCTGAGACTGTGGTGGGTTTAGAGATATTAGATGGGTTGTCAACTGGTCGGCGCTGCTCTTTGAAACCGTAGTTACTAAAACATGGAACGACCTAAAACCACCTAAAACCATCTACAACCACCTAAAACCACCTATAACCACCTCAAAAAATTCAACAACCACCTACAACCATCTACAATCACCTCAAAAACATCTACAACCACTCGCAAACAATCTAAAACCATCTAAAACAGGGTATAAATGTCTGAAATAGTTTCACACAAATGTATGTAGTCCCGCAGAATCCTTTAGCCTAGTGTGAACGTGTCTCACTTGTAGAGCCTGATTTTATACAGCTATTAACCCGTTTACAGTTGCAAGAATTAGAAAACATTATATAATGATATTTGATACTTCTTTTCAGCAAAATGAATCAAAACGTTCTTACCAGTAACGTCCCTTGGTGGGGAGGGAAGACCCGAATATGTGATCCAAATTTTTCGTTCCGTTTTAGCTCGTAAAGTTTCAGCTACTCTAGCCTGTGCCAGGCTCTCAGATAGTATAGTGGGGACGTATTTATAACGAGCAAAGCGAAAATAAGAAGCTCGCATATCCCATCACTCCCAAGAAGATGGCCGGGGTGAAAGTTGGGTTCCAAAACATAATAAAGGTATATAAAAATCCAGGTAAATTACTTTAAATACAATCATTCACTATTAAAATTTTTCAACCCATTTTTATTAATTTCGGCTCGTCTTAACTTGTTTTCTTCTGAATCCACTGCATTATAGATTTTTTAAATAACATTTTTAACAATGATTACACCTACTAGTCTCCGTTTCCTGTGTCCTGACGCAAGGGAGTTTAGCCTTGCGTGATGACCCAGGAAACGGGTGTGAAAGACACTAGGGTTCATCTAAAGGAGTCACCTGGAATGTACAAACATGTTTGGCGGATGAGATGCTAAGAAAATTAACTTGTTCTTAGGAATGTAATCCGCCACCTCAGAACAAAACAGCAGTGAAGCAGACTCCGAGAGAGAGAGAAACCCTACCTTGTGCCATTGCGTTAACAAATGAAACGTGAACCAAAATGTCTCACTGCATGGTACCCAGGGTAGAAAAAGCCAAATCAAGTCAGTCTTTCGACTACGACTTTGTTATTTTATTTTATTATTTTTTGTGACTTGATAGTTCATTTTGTAAAGTTCTTTAAGTCTTTTAATATATATACTAAGCATGATCTCGCATTTCATTTCGTGACTTACGCCAATGGTTGATGATACAAGGGACCAGGGAGAGTAAGATTTTAGGGGGAAGTGGATGTTTTTTTCGATTCTCGTATTTCATGTTCGTGACATGTTGTCGTCTCGCCTTATTTCAGACATTTATACCTTGTTTTAGATGGTTTTAGATTGTTTGCGAGTGGTTGTAGATGTTTTTGAGGTGGTTGTAGATGGTTGTAGGTGGTTGTTGAATTTTTTGAGGTGGTTGTAGGTGGTTTGTATGGCGTTCATTTCTATTGGTTTTAGGTGGTTGTAGATGGTTTTAGGTGGTTTTAGGTGGTTTTAGGTCGTTCCATGTTTTAGTAACTACGTCTTTGAAACGGTCTTTGAGTGGTCGTTTAGTTTCACCGATGTATTGTTTGGAGCAGTGGTTGTATTGTATCATGTAAATGACGGTTTTGGAGTTACAGTCAATGTGACTAGTGAAAGGTCTGGTTTCGTCTGTAGAGTAGAATGTGTATGAAGTTTGATATGTATTTACAAGTGACAGTTTTTTTCGTACGGGTATGAGCCCCGGGGCTGGTTGTGTTGTGTGATATTGCAAGGTTTGGCTCTCACTAGAAAATCACTGAGGTTACTACTACGTCAATAAGCTACAAAGGGTGCGGCTTTAAAAGACATTACAGCAACGGGGGGATGAAATAAGGATGTGACAGTGTTTGCGAATAATGGATGAGATGGAACGAAGAGCTGTGCCCTCGCCCGCCTTTATTAATTAGCGCGCCCAACCAAAAGCGCCATGCTACGCAGGCTATAGGTGATAACAAAGGGAAGACGTTCTGGTTTGTCCAGTATCAAATTGTCATGGGTGTAATTACTTCTGTCCGTGTGATATTGTTAACTCGCTGTATTTCCGTTGAAGGGAATAGCGGTTATAGCCACGTTTGTAAAGATAGTCAATAAGTTCATTGGTGCGGAGTGTGAAGGTCTCGTTGGTTGAACAAATGCGGCGGAGCGAGCTAGAATGAAAGGAATAGGACGTTTGGTATCTTGATGTGAAGGAATAGTCGCGTGTGAATTTTATGGTAGGGTGAATTTCATTAAGAAAGGAAGTGAATGTGTTAAGGTCCTGTACTGATCGTGTCCATATCATAAAGATGTCTAGCCTGCGAGCAAGCTCTTAGGCTCGATTTCCGCCGTCTCCCGGGTCCGGTCTTTGATCCTCCTCGAAGGGGGATGAGTGCTGGCTCATTTTCCCGAACAGCGGCTGGTAATCGAGCCTAGCAAGCTCTCCTATTTGGGCGAGCGAAGCGAGCCTCACGAGAACGCGCGCCCCTCGAGCTTCGCCGCTCGCTCGCGCGTTCTCGCGAGACTCGTTTCGCTTGCGCTTGCCCAAATAGGAGAGCTTGCTCGCAGGCTAAAAGATGTCGTATGTAACGCCACCGTATGAAGGTTTGGAAAGGGGCACGTGATAAGGTGTCCGTCTCGAATTTGGCGAGAAAAAGGTTGGCGTATGAAGGAGCCATCCTTGTCCCCATAATCGGTACCATGTGTCTGTAAGTAATGTTTGTCATTGAAAGAGAAAATGTTCATAGTGCGAATCATGCGTATGAGGTCACAAAGTGTTCCAGTACTGGTGCAGGCACTGGTACTGATGGATGAAGCGTTGCGATCGCGTCTATTGAGAAAATAGGGACTTTACTTTGCGATAAAGACTGAAAGAACGCAAATTCACTTTTTAAGCGACGTTCTCATTGCCGTCGCGTCATTGGATCTTAAAGTCCCTAACGACCGTTTCAACGAACACTGCAGACCAGTTGACAACCCATGTAATGTCTCTAAACCCACCACAGTCTCCACTTTCTACAGTACTTTCTTTCTTATTTTTTTTAATGATCACTCTGCAGGAGCCCATGGGCTCCTGTCCGTCCCTAAATTTTCACGTGTTATTATAGTATCATATTGCACGCTATTCTTTATTTCAAATTGTAACGTCTTAGCTAGACTTCCTAGAAGTCGAGCTCTTGGCGAGCGGAGAGAGCCTTTTTTGGCCGCAAAGCCGCTGACCGCGAGCGACGAAGTCACAAGAGGTCGACTTGTCTCGCTTGAAGAGTTTCCATTGGCATTTCGCCCCAAAAATGGGGAGTGGCGTTTCCCTAGTCCCTGTACGGCGTTTTCCCAGTCCCTCTCGGTCAATTCGTTTCGGTGACGTATCCGAGGCGAACAGGCGGGAAACGGCCTCACATTTTCGCATGGACCACGTGACCTGAAACGCTTTGGTCGCGAGGAAAAATGAGGCCTAGGGACTAGGCGAGAGTGGCGAGACATTTGTAGCCTGAGATCAACCTTAGATCAGGCCCAATTTACCGCTAAAAT